GCTTTAAACAAATGCTGCTCAGTATCACCACGCAATGTATTTACGTAATTTCCAGAAATAATGAAATTTATTGTTTAATTGTTTGTTTAATTACTACAATATTATTTTGTCATTGTTTCATTATTTAGACATTATCTTTAATCTACATTGTGTTCGTCATTTCACATTTAATTGCCATATGATTCGATTATTTTCACTTTCAAATATCTTGACATTCGGTTCGCTTGACTTGCGATAGTACCTCGACATTCGATTACCCGGCCTACATTAGCTGACCTGGATATAGATATATTATTCAATCCATGGTCCCGAACCGCCTCCCATAAAACATTGCCCTGGATAGCAATGCAAGCTTTGTAAAATGGTGGCAGTTTCACCAACATCCAGAAACTGACTGAGGCCGCCAGAGCCTGTCGTGACGCAACATCACATGCCGCTAAGTTGTTGGAGAATATTATTACTCTAAATTCGATGACTGAAAAGGGGAGGAATTATTACACAGTTGACCATGGCACGGTCAATAACCGGCCTTTCCAGCGGACTTGGTAGAGTACCATCGTTTCAGTAACTGTGGTAACATGCATCATTCTGATTCTCAGTCTTCGGACTCTCCTCGCACGGGTACTTATTCATAGACATATACCTGTTATGGGCATTCACTTTTACGTTCACTCGATTATTGTCAAGGTGCCGATATATTTGTGCGGCTGATTTGTAGCGTGACATTCATTTATTGTTCTCGAGAAAAAATAAATTACAATGAGACTCTGTGCTACTTCCTGTTAATCTGCAATCTGCATTTTCTGAATTTGTTTTGGCATTGTTTTATAACCGTAGACCTAATATGTATATCATCCTAGCTACTCCACAGTGAAATCATTCAGTGAAATAATTTTGTATATTCTCAATAAGTTTGGGCGTTCCCTGGCCCGTGCTAACCACGAATCCCTCCTGTGCGTGAATTGGGTCTATGCGATATGTACACAGATGAGACTAGCCTAAAGTGCCTGTGAAATGCCCACCCACACGTTCCCCATTTTAGATCTGTGTCCCGCTAAAATGGGCAGATTTTGTTGTTGAAAATTACTAGTCGTATCCAAGAATGCTGTAGCCACGCCCACCTATCCTGAAACGGTCGACTGTTTCCGGATTTCCGACTCTCGCCGTAGTTAAAGTGCGCCATTAAATGTCAAAATATAAGTGGAAGCCAAACTCTTGTGCCGTACTTGTATAACACTGCGAGTGCGTCATTCAACATACTTTTAAACTATATACATTTTTCGGTCTTTTTTTTGAGAGAGAGGGAGTTTTTTTAAGGAAACAGCCAATGTTCACCGAGGCGGATTTAAGAAGAGAGAGAGAGACGTCGGGTAAGTGTTTCAAATTATTTGACTTTGATCTGCATAATAATTTTTGGAATAAGAATTCGGGCTTAGGATGTCTTCGTTCGTAACTGCATTCATTGACAAAGTGACTTTATCTGTTCATTGCCACGTCAGTGTGACGAGAGATGCTTCGCACCAGTCTTAAAAATTGTGTCGCCCCGGGTCTTCGTAACTGACGACTTCCTCTAGCAAAGCAGTTTCACAGTTCATTTTGTCCTGATTCGATAGCTGTGAATGACTCCTCCGTCAAATTCCCCATATATTGCTGGGCAATGTAGCGTATTCCGGCGGCTTGACAAACGTTTGCATTGCAGCTTACCGGACATAATCTGAGAAAACCAACTCCGTTAAAAATGGGTTATCCGGTAGCAGAGGAGCGTTGTATTTGTCAATGTGAAATTTCGCTTGGTTTACAAGGTTCTCGATAGAAGAAACAGTGGTTTCGCAATATATTTACGTAATTTACAGAAATAATGAAATTTCTCACGGTACACGGTATAACAAGTAATTATTGTTTTGTTGTCACTAGAGGTCGCTATACCAGTCTGAAGAAATTAGTCTACCGTTGCTACTGGGCAAGCAACATAACATTTTTTTGTTTGATCTTGTCATGAATAGCCGGTTAAGCAACTGCCACATAAATAGTTTTTGTATTTCTGGTTTTTAGTACCATGTAATCTATTGGTTAATAAATGAGCAGCGTAGTCACACAGTATATATTGGTAGTTAATGTTGTTGTTAAGGTGGGATGTAAACAAACTCAGTATGTGGCACGGTAAGATGAGATTTCGTTTTCGGCAAACGATAATTCATAACCAATTGTGTGACCGACGTTGCAAGTAGATAGCTTCCTATGGGATAGGAGTCAATTTACAACATTTTCAAACCAGAAAAACGGCCCGTTTCAGAGACACCCCATCCTCCCAAAAGTGTGATACCGTATAAAACATCACATCGCAGCAAATATTTCTGTAATGCCTAACGTTTGCCTTCATTATTTAATTATTTTAGTGGAAAGAACTATTATTTTGAAGCGATTTCGCTTGTTTTTCTCTTATTTTTCACGCGCTTTCAGATATTCTTTCTCCGCGTGTGCAACTTGTCTACATAGTGTCAGTGAATCGAGGATAATGCCAAGGTATGACAATGTTGTGTTTGAGTATTGTACATGTTGTGTTGATAGTACATCTAAATATGTATCAAATTGTTTTGATGCGGACTGGAACATCGTTTTGGCCTACCGCACTCGAACAAATCTTTTTTGTAATATTCTTGTTCCAGTAAATATTGGAATAAACAACTCAACAGACGAGGAACAAAAGACCAGTTACGGAATATTATTATTATTATTGTCTGATTGGATAAACATAGAATTCAAAAATAATTATTTTCGTTGTAGGGTTATAAATTTGATTTCAGGATTTAGGACATTTATCAACACGAATTTTAACCAATTCAACCTTTTTCACAAGATAATTTTTATAACTGTTTCCCGAGTAAATGGGATAAAAGTATAATTTCTAATATCTGCATCAAAACCATATTTTGACAAATGCAATTTCCTCTAAGCATCGTGTACCTGTCATTACCTGTCATGTTTAACAAGTTATTTACAAAACATAAATACATGACTAGGAACGATTGCATGACTGTAACTTTAATTTACATAGCTAAGGTATTAGATAAATCAATGAGTAAATAAACGACACAACGGCCATTCAAAGCGTTGTTGATATCATTTTAATCTGTAGTTGTCCATCAATGAAGATTGTGTTATATTCTAGAAGACAAACGTCTACAAAGTCAAATATTTTTACCCATATACGTCACTTTGACGTCACAGAAGCGTTTTGTTCATGCTAATTGTTTTTATTCACAACGACTTCATACACTATTAGTAATACAGTTTGCTATTGCATGCATTCTCAGAAAATGGTCAAGAACAGTGAACATGAACAGTGAGTAATTATAAACAGAACAAGGCGTCCTGTTGGCCGATTCTTTCTAAACATTTTGGATTTCTACATTCCCGTGATGTATCCTTGGGAGGAAAAGATGTATAATAATAAGGTTATTACGAGGATACATCAAAGTTTGCACTCAGACAGTACACTGTCACATTGACCTTCGCTGCGCGTCGGTCGATACTTCCGCTGTACTGTCTTCGTGCATACTTTGAGGTATCCACGTAATAACTACATAATATAATTGATTTCCTTTTGCAACTAACATGATTTATGAATGGCATTATGCTCCTACATCTACCTTGTTGCAGTTTAAACGTTCTTGGAGTGATTTGGTGAACTATAGCCTTTTTTCGGAGACAGCTTTGCTAGACTGGTATGTAGAATCAAAACTACCGTAACATGGCATAATGCAAGTAAGGCCAATAGTGGCGAAAACGCAGGGTTTGGTTCCAAAATGTCACGTGAGATTGAACATATTTTCTAGAAACTGTAGTATTATACAAACAATATGGTTATAATGTTATAAGCTGGTATTTATAAAGTAAC